TGAGCTATTTATAGGCATTATAGATATATTTAAAATTTTGTAAATTATTTTTCAGTTAGGAATTCATAAAAGTTTTTATTTTCATAGCTTTCATTAGAAATTTGAAGAGGAGATTCCCAACATATTTTTCTACCTCTATCAAAAAGAAAATTTTCGCTGAAAATTCACGATATATATATCGATGAAATATTTTACAAAACATAATATACCAGAATGAGATATTATTTTTACATAATTTAGCATTTTAAAATATAAAAAGGTGGGTAAGAGGTGGACACTCTGCTGTACAGTAGGTTACAAGTGGGTCACTGTATAATGGATGATATTAAATACAACAAAATAACTAAAATCGTTATTCTTGGTTATTTAATATATAATTTGCTCCAAATTTGAACATAAAATAACTATTAAAAAAAAGGTGCTTTTATATTTTTTGGTCACAGAATAACCTACTAACGCTGAACCTTGTTGTAAGTTTTCAATCCTGTAAAAGATAGCTATAAAAAGTAAACATTTTATACATTTTTAACTACAAAATCATTTTTAAATTTTAAACTTTATAAATGTTGTCAAAATTCAAACTTTAAATACTTATAAAAAAAAAACTGTGACTAAGGATTATTAATATTTTTCAAATGCCATTGTAACAATATGGTAGGAGCCTTGTATTAATTTTTCAAGCTTTTTTACCCAACAAATAAAGTTTTATTGACATGCATAGAAAAAAAAGACTAAACAGTTCAAAACAAATCAAAATATTTTGAAAATCTTATCATGCATAGAAAGTGCAAATATAAACAACCAGATTTTGACCTCCTGAATGCACCAACTAGATTCACTTTCCCATCAAACAAGATTCTGTTGAAGAAAATCGAAGCAGTTTTACTGCCCCCAAACGGTGGTGACACACAAAAAAAAAAAAATAAAATAAAACACACACACATCATTGTAAAATCAGTACATTCATCGCTCAGCTCAGAATCTAAAATATATTATTCTCAATTATGTATATGAAAACATATTATAAATACAAATTTTGGGGAATATATTTGATTATGTACTTATTTGTTTTTAATAGTTGTCAATTATCTACCTGATAAACTAATAAAGTTGCATATAGTTATAAGGTAGGTACAAACTGTCTCCAATGATTTATTTCTGATAAATTGGTTGGTTGGTTTTAACAACTTTTATTCCCCCATAAATATGCATTACTTCCGATTAGTAGCTTTCACTTATATATGAGTTATTTATTTTCTCAGTTCAAAATTGTAATTAGGCTAGTATTAATTTTATTTTGTATTTACTCTTACTATGCAATACATTAAACACATTTACAGAACAATTTTAATTTAAATGATAACCTCCGACGACTTCCGATACTGGACTATGAATAGAGTGTAGAGATATAAAATTGCTACAATAGGCATAAACGTACAGCAGTTAAAAGGTTAAAATACATACTATAGACTATAATCTATATTGTATATGCATCCTGCACATCCTTTAGGTATATTAAATAATTTAAATTATAATCTAACTGCGATAATCACTAATTTTAGGTACTTATTACAATTTTATTTTTCCACTAACAACTTATAAATCGAAGTAGGTACGTATACGTATTTTTGAGATTTTAGGTTCTTGTACGAAAAACTTATGAGAAACATTGTATTTAATGTATTATTTTTTAAAGTTTTATTACACACATTTCACAAACAAAAATGTATTCATACATGAATCGAAAAAGAAATAGGAAATTTAAAATATTTAAAAACTGCACACAATAATATTTTGAAAATTGTACCATGTCTATAAAATGATAATATGGGTAAAATAATATATATTTGGTAAAAATTCTGGTTTAAAATACGACAAAAAAACAAAATCCATTTTTCGGAAGACTAATTTCAATCCAATTTATTCTCTATTTACCTACACAGTTCTACTGTACATAATACATCAGTGGGGGACGGAGTGGTCGATGCTAGCTTGATACCTTGGTCATGGGTGGCATTTTTCTTCGGGCAAGTCACGGTGTCCGGAGAACAAGTGCCGCCATTAGTGGTGGGCATATTCGGATTTCAAAAATCCGAATTATTCGGATTTGTCAAATCCGGATTTAGTAAATCCGGATTTCACGGATTATCCGGATTATTCAACTCGATTTTGCTGTTCAATGACTCATTTTTATATACTAATAATATTTTAATTCTATAATATAATTTTCAGACATGGGTATACAACATTTCGAACGCATTTTAAGTACCAGTGATGTTTTGCACTTAGCTGTAATAAAAACAATTACTTAAGTATGTAAATGATTTTATTGAAATTTTTAAGCACATTTTCATTTGTAAAAATTAATTATTATTTTTTTATACTAAAAAAAGTGTGAAATAATGTAACATAACATTTTATTTAATAATTATTAAACACGGGCATGGCAGATACCTACGGGTGTCCAAACAAACACACACGTGTTCCTCCCCCTACAAAACTAAAACTGCTAATGGCCATGGTCGCCGAGCTTAAGATCAAATAAAAAAAAAAAAATAAAAATAAATAAGTAAAAATAAATAAATAAATAAAAATAAGTAAATAAATAAAAATAAATAATAAAAAAAAAAAAAACACCACTATTGACTTATAAGCTAAATTATATATATAGCTAATAATATATATTTGTTGGATTACCAGGTTGCAGATGGCATGACCGTGATGATAGGATAATGCAGGTGGGTGTTGACAATATAGTAGACGGTTGAAAGTCAAAGTGAAAATATGTTCTTCAGTAAAATAATGTCCAAGTTCAAATTGATACAGTTTAGAGTGAAGGTGTTTGCTAGAGAATTGCGAGTACACGTCTGATCACAGTTCGTTTCAGGGTCCCTCTTATAGTCCTATCCCCGCTTTCCCTGCCTATCAATGCAGTATCCTGTTTTCCCGAATGTGGTCATCGATGCCGGATGTCACCCTAACTCCCTTGACCTCACTCGTAAAATTTCCCTAATCTATTCTGAATATTACAATATCCCATAGGTATATTCATACTTGATTTATTATTTGCAATATAACGTTCTATATATTATATATATTATATACACCTGTCAATACTATGGTAATATCACATCCGCCTAGGTATTGTATTTGTTGTTGTATTTATTAAACTTCAGTTTTGTCACTTTGCCTCCAACGGGCCGATTGTGATTTACAATAATATAAAGTGAATAGAGAATAGTAAAAAATAATTAACTATATTTGTTCGCGCCCTGACCTAGGTGCCACTGGCTAACGTTCTTTTGCCAGTGTTGGCGACACTGAGTATGGACGCCTTTTGACATTCACTGCCGTCTCGCTTCGACGTTGGTGTCTAGTGACTAGTCTCGTTAACTGTCAGTTCGACTTAGTACCGTTTGTTGCTATAAATATAGTTTTTTTTTTGCTTATGTTCATACAATACATGTGGTTATTGTTATGAAAAGTATATCATGAAAAGTGATTGCAAAGGTTATTTGTGACAAAAGCTCTCATCTTAGCGACTTAGCCAGTTCGGAACTGATACAGCAGCTGAAGCGCTGTATCCATTCTTTCTCAATATCATACACGTGGTCAGTTCATCCACACCTGCCAGTTCGGTCAAAACCAACCCGTCAGCTCGACACCTCAACTCAAGTTTATCCAGATTCATCCTCGTCATCAGCAGCTCCGCCTTTCCCTATTTTATGTAATTGTAATTGTAATGAGCAATTCATAATAATGTTAAAATATATATATTGTTTTTTAGTGGTAAGTTGTTTAATCTAGGTGGATTGGCCGTCCCCTAGTACGTTGTATAATAATATGTCTCATGTAATAAAAATAATGATGGTATGTTAATAAATGTTATAATTTCAGTAATTACCAATTCCTAGTGTGGTGCGAGTCGTAGGTGCCAACCTTGGTATAAGGAGTGCTGTCGGCGTAAACATTGGTAGCAGGGCGTGGTTTCAAGATAAAGGTGCAGCATCACTACTGGATTGAGGTATATTGGTCATATTGTTGTCATATAAGTACATAATATCCTTCCTAACGATAGTTCCTATTTAAGTTATATTGTTTGATGGATACATAAGGGTTATAGTATAATTATAATAAATATTTTTCAATTATACATATCATCAGTCAGGTGTTATTAGCTCAATAGGATATTTTATAAAGTTAGTGTTTTTACATATTGTTTTTTTTTATATTTCTTAATGCCCACCCTAATCTATTAAGTTAACTAAAGCACAGCTCGTGTCTAATTGGTATTAAGGCCCCCCACAAAGGACTGAATACATTTATTTTAATATTGTTTAGTATTAATATTTTATTGTTGCTGAGAAGGATGATATAACATATCAAACCAATTTTGTTGTTATAGTTGTCAGTGTTGTTATGGTGGTCATTAAATAGCGTTAGCTTCACTTATGATACATTTATTTTATTTTTTGACTGTTTATAGTTTTTTTTCTAAATAGTTAAATATTTTTATTAGTTTGTTCATTGTATTGTATCACTGGTTCACAAGTTAGTGACTGATTAATTGTTAATGATTTAATTTTATTTGTCTGGTTATGCTATTTAGTTATAGCCTGTCGTTTATTGTTGATTTGTTCGTTAGATTCTAGTTCAGTTTTATATTTGGTTACTGTCATCTCAATTTTTAGGTCTTATTTCATGGTTGATATTGGTTGGTTATTTTGTTAAGTACTTAACTATTCTATCTTAATATTGTTTTTTTGTTATTTACCTTATTAAAGGTTATTGTTACAACTTAATAAGCTTACAGTTGTTGTCAATATTATTATTCAATAATATATCATTTATAGATAATTGCCTTGTTCTGTTGTTAGTTATTCAACATTTATTTATCTAAGTAAATTGTTTTCTGTTTGTATAAAAATATCATCTTATACTTAAGTGGTTGTAGTTAATAGCTTACTAGTCTTGTCTAGGTGTGTATTTGTTTTATTATCATGGGTGATAAGGAACGTCTGACGCGTAATAAGCAGCGTGCCGCAGTGAAACGTGATGCAGCTGCTAGCCATATCGAGTCAATTTATACTTTGGGTTTATCTGCTTCTACTGACAGTTCTGTCATTCCCAAATTCCTCATAGCCAGTGAAGATATTCAGAATCATTGGGAAACGTTCACCCTTGAGAATGACACCATGTTAGAAGCTATGATTGAATTGGGTACGCATGGTGAATTTTCCAATAACGTTGAATTGGAGGTTCGAAATACTCTACTTAATGTTAAAGCCTTGGCAAATAAATTCCGCTCTAGTTCAGATGCTGGTGTTGCGGCTAGTGTCACTAGTAATAATGACAAACCGGGTTCTGACATTGTTAACGATAACGTTGATTCGGTATCAAATCCTACAACTCAAGTAGGTCCGCTCATCGCTAGTACAGCCCCTTCCGATTCAGGTGTTCAGTTACCCAAGATTCCATTACCTACCTTTGATGGTCGCCTTCAAAACTGGCCAGACTTTAGAGACCGTTTCACCATTTTAGTGGGCAATAGGACACACCTGAGTAATATAGAGAAGTTCTATTACTTATTAGGATGTTTACAGTCTGGTCCTAGTGATGTAGTCAAGGGTATCACGGTTTCGGAATCCACCTATGAACTTGCTTGGTCTGCCTTAGTTCAAAGGTATGATAAACCTCGTCAGTTGGCTACTACTTTGGTTAATGAAATGCTCAATGCTCAAATTAACCATCAGGAATCTCCTGCAGTACTAATTAATTTTTTGAATACCTTTTGTGAGAACATAGCTCTTCTTCAGTCATTGAATATACCTGATTTAGGTTCATTCCTGTTATTTGCAATATCAGTTCGTTGTTTGCCTTCAACTACACGCCGTCTGTTTGAACAGGGAAACACAGCTGATTTTCCTACTGTTGATAGTCTATTATACTTTGCCAAAGATAGGGTAGAGGTGTTGGAAAACTCTGGTTCATCTTTGATCCAGGCCACAGTTAAGCCTCAAGCAAAGCTCGTCTTCAATAAACCTAAGCATACAACTTCCAAGCCAAACCAATCGGCCTCTAAGGCCCCTCGAAGCCATCAAGGTTCTCCAGTGGCGTTAGTTGCTAACAAACCAGCTGGAGAGTCTCATCGTTGTGAGCAGTGTAACGGTTCTCATTCTTTAACGTCATGCTCTACCTTTAAGGACTTGTCGATCGATGATCGCTACGCTTTAGTGAGCAAGCACAGGTTGTGTATGGTTTGTTTCGGTAGCAATCATTGGGCAAACAAATGTAAGTCCTCATGTTCTGTTTGTCACGGTCGTCATCACCAGCTGTTACATCGAGATAATTCCCATGCCAAGATACCTCCAAGCAAGGATCCTGTTGCATCGTATATTGGCACTCAACATTCCAGATCGGTCTTGTTGGGCACCGCTTCAGTCAATGTCTGTGATGTAGCTGGGTGTTTGCAGCCAGTTCGGGCTTTGATTGACCCCGCTTCCCAAGTGAGTCTAATGACCTCTGAGTGTGTTAAACGTCTAGGTCTATTCTGTGAACAGTGGACAGTCCCAGTAGCTGGTCTAGCAGGTCAGTTAGTGCAATCCATCAATGGCAGAGTGCAGATCAGCATCCAATCGGCTACAGATGGCAGCATGATCAACCTTTCTACTTGGACTATGCCTAAAATAACAGGGTCAATGCCATCGGCACAACTACCAGTCTCCGTCAGGAACAAGTGCTCTCATCTAGTTTTGGCAGATCCTAATTTTGACTCACCAGCTCCGGTTGAATTGCTGCTTGGTGCAGATGTATTCCCTCAAGTGATCCGCAGCAGAAGACATGACTTAGGTGTTGGATTACCTACCGCCTTTGATACTATCTTCGGTTGGATTCTTCTTGGTCCAGTTGATCCATCTCTACCAGCAGCTCCGCAACAGACTATGATGATTTCTTTATTAACAACTTCAATTGAATCTCTAGTTGAGAGATTCTGGAAGATTGAAGAACCTGATGAGGCGCCACAATCATTCACTGAAGAAGGAAGATGTGAAGAGATATTCGCTCAGGAAACTTACCGTGACAGCTCTGGCAGATTTGTGGTGCCACTTCCTTTTCGTACCCCACCTACATCATTCGTTTTTCATGGCTCCCGCCAGTTGGCACTTGTTCGCTTTGAACGTCTAGAACGTAAATTGATTCGGGACAAACCCTTATACTTGGCTTACCAACAGTTTATGGCGGATTATGAATCCCTCGGTCATATGTCACCTGCCAAGTCTCCTGGTTCATATTTTATCCCTCACCATGCAGTTCACAAGATGGAAGGGGACAACATGAAGCTCAGGGTAGTGTTTGATGCGTCAGCTCGACCTCCTTCAAACACCTCCCTGAATGATGCTTTATTTGTGGGTCCTAAGCTCCAACAGGATATAGTGGACATACTACTTCGTTTTCGTATCCACTCAGTTGTTTTTACAGCTGACATTTGTAAAATGTACAGACAGATTTTGATAGCTCCTAAGTACCGTCAGTACCAGCATATTCTGTGGAGAGCGTCTCCTCACGACAAAGTTCAAGAGTTTGAATTGAACACTGTCACCTATGGTGTTGGAACAGCTCCCTATCTAGCGCTGAGAGTGTTGAAGGAAATAGCGGTTGTCTATGGTCAACAATATCCTCTGGTACAGGCAGCTCTTATGTATCAAACTTACATGGACGACATTTGTACTGGGGCAGATAGCTTCCGGGAAGCTCAAGCCCTGAAAGATGATTTGATTTCTATTCTCAGCCAGTTTGGCCTAGAGTTAAAGAAATGGGCTAGTAATTCTCCTCAGCTGTTGGAGAACATACCTTCGGAAGACAGAGCAGCTGGTTCTCTTCCATTCAACATTGACAATTCACCTCAAGTTCAGATTTTGGGTATGAAGTGGAATCCTGATGTCGACACCTTCAACTACAATGTCAGTTCAATCAAGTTTGTTTCATCCAAACGTAGTATGTTGTCGGTGATTGCGCGAATCTATGATCCACTTGGTTTTTTATCCCCTGTAATTTTTCATGCTAAGCATCAGTTGCAATGTGTTTGGCGGTCTGGTGTTTCATGGGATGATCGGCTTCCGTTGGAACTAGAACATTCTTGGATGTCCTTTGTTAATGAGTTACATTATCTATCTACGATTCAAGTACCAAGGTTCGTTGGTACCTCTGAAGGGTCACAATATGAATTATGTGGGTTCTCTGATGCTTCTATCAAAGGCTATGCAGCTGTAGTTTATTTAAGAGTATCAGATCGCCACCGTAGGGTCTCTATGTTCTTGCTAGGTAGTAAGACCAAACTGGCACCAACCAAAGCCATGTCTATTCCTCGCCTTGAGCTCTGTGGCGCTGGATTGCTCGCTCGTTGGTTAAGTCGCATTCAGATCACTCTCTCGACTCAGATAACTATCCATAACGTTTTTGCTTGGTCTGACTCGTCAGTAGTGCTATCTTGGTTAAAAACCCCCCATGTGTCGTATAAGATTTTTGTATCTAACCGTATTCATAAGATAAATGAATTGTTACCGTCTTGTAGTTGGTTTTATGTTAGCACTGACATGAACCCAGCAGATTGTGCCTCTCGAGGTTTACGACCTGGTGAGCTAGCTCAGCATGATCTTTATTGGAAAGGTCCTACCTTCCTCCACCAGTTCGGAGAGAGTTGGTCGTCAGAAGTTAATTTGATTCCCTCAGACCAGTTGCCTGAGGTCACAGGTCCTGTGTCTTGTGTTGTTGAAACTACAGGAGAGCCGATTGAGTGGTTCTCTCGCTTTTCGTCTCTAAATCGTATGTTGAGAGTTATTATTCGTTTACAACGTCTTATTAAATTGTGTCGCAAGGTTCCGGTAGACACTAGTTTCCTTTCATACCAGGAGTATAATGATGCATTGACAGCTGTAATCAAGTGTTCACAAGGTGTGTTCTTGAAATCCTTGTTTCTTGAGTTATCTTCTGGTAAGGTTGTCTCCTCTCGGCCACTTGCACGTTTATCGCCGTTCATCGATGACTGTGGTGTCATTCGGGTAGGAGGTCGTCTTCGTCATTCCTTGCTATCAGATCGACGCAAGTTCCCAGTCCTGCTGTCAAAGGCATCATATTTGTCATTACTAATTGCTCGGCATTGGCATCTGTTTGCTTGTCATGCAGGTCCACGTCTCATGTCAGCTTTAATATGTAGACAGTTCTGGATAGTGGGTGATCGCTCTGTTGTTCGTCGCGCGATTAGTGAATGTACTGTTTGTGTCAGGTTATCAGCTCGTAACCTGCAGCCGGTCATGTCCGATCTACCTGACTTTAGAGTTCAGCAATGCCATCCTTTTTCTAGTGTGGGCATAGATTATGCTGGTCCCCTTATTATGAAGGAGACTAATCTGCGAAAGGCCCGACAATATAAAGTTTATATTGCTGTTTTTGTTTGCATGAGTGTCAAGGCAGTTCACCTTGAGCTTGTGACTGATCTGTCAACCGATGCCTTCCTGGCGGCATTCAACCGCTTTGTAGCTCGACGAGGATTGCCATCCGCAGTATATTCAGACTGTGGTACTAATTTTGTTGGTGCATCGAAAAGGCTACATGATCTAGTTAATGATCCAAGGAATCGCGAGCAGTTTAGCTCAGCGTTTGTGTGTTCATGGAATTTTAATCCCCCCAGTGCACCTCATTTTGGTGGGCTCTGGGAAGCAGCGGTACGTTCTACAAAGCTCTTGTTAGTACGGGTGGTTGGCAATCAGGTGTTGTCCTATGAGGAGTTTTCTACGGTCTTGTGTAGAATAGAGTCTGTACTTAACTCAAGACCACTAACACCATCGTCTAATGATCCAAACGATCTAGATTACCTTTCCCCAGGTCATTTTCTTGTTGGTCGACCCTTGTGTGCAGTGCCTGAAGCTGAGGTCCCTGTCAGTTTGATACACCTTAGAAACCGTTGGAAGCTCCTCCATCAGGTATTTCAGGCATTTTGGCGTCGTTGGTCTAACGAGTATTTACACACCCTTCAGACCAAAGGACGTTGGTTAATTAACCAAGAAAACATTAAATTGGGGGAGTTAGTTATTATTAAGGACAACACTTCTCCTCCTTTACTATGGAAACTAGGTCGCGTCCAAGAGCTTCTACCAGGTCCAGACGGAGTGGTTAGGGTAGTAAAATTACTCACCAAGCAAGGCCTTATAACAAGACCAGTAGTGAAGCTGGTCCCACTTCCTACTCATTAAACATATTTTTTTATTTTTTTTTTTTTTTTTTTTATTATTAATTTATATAATGTTCCTACAGTTTCCTTTTTCTTTCCTCTATATTCTATTTGTATGACAATGATATGATTGCGGTATGTAAAGTGCTACTACGTTGACGGCCCTTGTGTACCGAGTGTTGGCTCCTATGGCTTCACATTGCATTATGGGTAATCGCATTATATTATTATTTTTATTTACATTTTTTTTTTTTTGTTAATTCATTTTGTTAATTGTTATGTGATAATAGTCATTTTTGTTATATGAGGAATTGCTCAAGTAGTTAAAAAAAAAAAAAAAAAAATGTATTATCCCTTATTTAACTGCTCAAGATCAGTCCTATCATCATCAACTACAGTTCCAGATCAGCAGATCGCTTGTTCCACTCTCTATGTACAACTCGGCTCAAGTATTAAGTTGTGATACACTATGTATCACAAGGGGGAGTATGTTCGCGCCCTGACCTAGGTGCCACTGGCTAACGTTCTTTTGCCAGTGTTGGCGACACTGAGTATGGACGCCTTTTGACATTCACTGCCGTCTCGCTTCGACGTTGGTGTCTAGTGACTAGTCTCGTTAACTGTCAGTTCGACTTAGTACCGTTTGTTGCTATAAATATAGTTTTTTTTTTGCTTATGTTCATACAATACATGTGGTTATTGTTATGAAAAGTATATCATGAAAAGTGATTGCAAAGGTTATTTGTGACAAAAGCTCTCATCTTAGCGACTTAGCCAGTTCGGAACTGATACAGCAGCTGAAGCGCTGTATCCATTCTTTCTCAATATCATACACGTGGTCAGTTCATCCACACCTGCCAGTTCGGTCAAAACCAACCCGTCAGCTCGACACCTCAACTCAAGTTTATCCAGATTCATCCTCGTCATCAGCAGCTCCGCCTTTCCCTATTTTATGTAATTGTAATTGTAATGAGCAATTCATAATAATGTTAAAATATATATATTGTTTTTTAGTGGTAAGTTGTTTAATCTAGGTGGATTGGCCGTCCCCTAGTACGTTGTATAATAATATGTCTCATGTAATAAAAATAATGATGGTATGTTAATAAATGTTATAATTTCAGTAATTACCAATTCCTAGTGTGGTGCGAGTCGTAGGTGCCAACCTTGGTATAAGGAGTGCTGTCGGCGTAAACAATATTATTATTATGACGTATTTAATTGTTACCTATATTTTATAATAAGTTATTTATAATTAATACAGCATATTACACTATGTATAATATATTTTTAGGATGATTTTAATCTTACGTAGTAACTTTGGTTACCTACTACAATAGTACAATATGATAATATTAAAAATATAAAAATAATAAATTACATGCAATGTTTTTGGATAAAATTAGTTCAATCTACCGAAATTAATTACTAACATAGAAATAAATTATTAAGTGAATAAAATGATAAATAAATTACAAAATATCCTTAGAAATAGAGACGTGTCAGCATTCTGCACACAATGTGAGAGTAACACAATCTCTGCTAAAAATTAAAGTTTTTCTTATGCAATAATTTATCATTGAATTCAAATTTAACACATATCTATTACAGTGACCTACTCAATGGCATGGTAACTGGAAGGTACACTTAAAACCAGTATTATATGTATAGACTTTTCGAGTATTTTTTTTATTATTAATATATTATGCATACATGTATTAATGTTTTATAACACAAAAGTTAAAATTTAAAATTACCTATAAACAAAGTAGGTGTCTTTTCATTCTAAAATGTCGACATCAATATTGATCACATTGACAAGCCCGCAAGGCCGTTCCAGACATTGTTTTCGGGGGTTCAAAATACGAGTACTTTGGTAAATCAGTGATTTAAGTCTTGATATTTGGTCGAAAATAGTTTGATAATAAATTTACGATGTCTTACTACTCGTTTTTAACGAACAAAAATGATTATTATTTTAAATAATATAACGATCATAGGTTGTATGGCGGACCACGGTATAAGTTGACTATAGGTACTATAGAACCGTCCTCCGACCAGGGCTGCATTTAGGGGGGGGGGCACTGGGTACAACTGCCCCGAGCGCCAGTATTTTAGGGGCGCCAAAATTTTGTGGACAGAAAATGTCTTTACTTATGATTTTTTAAAATTGTATTTATGTACTTTAAATTATTTTTATAACAGTATTATATAATATAATCTAGTATAATAGTATTGTATATATTATTATAGTATAATAATATTATGCTGTTTGAAATTTATTATTTAAACAATCAATGTATTTATAGCAATATAGCTACAGCGATCGATAATTATTAATATACCTAGTTCCCAAATTTGTTGTGATTATGTCAATAGACATCAGTTATTTATAATAATACGGGCAATACCAATACGGCGTATTGATTTTATATTACATAGTTTTGTACTTATGATTAAAATAAAGGAAGTTCCAAAACAATGATCTTGAATATTATTCTATATTTCTATATTATAAACATCATTCATTTAAATAGGTAATATTATTTAATTATTTGCTATTAAATTTTGTGTTTATTATAATCATTATTTTTTGTAATTTCTACAAAATTAAGTAAGTAAGAATCAATTAAACTATAGGTATGTAGAGATTCAAAAATAATTAATGTTTAATAACTGGTAAGTTGATAAGTTGTTATGAAACAAATTTATGCAGGTCACTTTTTTGTCACTTTTATAAATAAATTCAGTCACTTTTTTTAAATAGCTTAAACCACTACCAACCCTGTATATAGTTACATTAATTTTATAAAATACTATATACAATAAAATATAAAATATTTATTTGCATAGTTTTATATAATTTTATTTTATTTATCCATGAAGTACCTACTTAAATATGTTTAAAAAAAAACAACTTAATGATACTAAATTATTAGCAAGGTTTGAGTGACATAAATTCCAATATATCTTTGCGGAGGGATCAAGCAATTACTAAACAATATTTTTTTAAAAAAGCACTCTTAAACAAATATTCTTTTCTTTGCTCAAATCTAAAGGGTAATGAGGATCTACCTCACATATTTTCCGTGGGAGGAGCAATTTTTTTTTCACCGGGGCTTGTGGGGCGCCAATTTTTTTTTTGCACCGGGGCGCAAAATGTCTAAATGCGGCACTGCCTCCGACGCCATGAATACCATAATAGGTACTCACTGGTTTTGTCACATAGGTACTCCGTAGTATAAATTATTACCAACATTTTCCCTTAAAGCCTGAAAGTTAAATGCGGTAGCCGGTAAGGACCAAACTACCAAATACTAATTAAAGGTATTATAATATAAGGTAGGTACAAAAATGTGAGGTCCAGAATTCCAAATATGGGCGTATAATCGATGAATAAATATTTTAAATACATACTTAATATCAGTGGCGGCTTAGCTCAACCATGACATTAGCCAAGGTGGAGGGGGTACACCGTATACAGTATAAATAAAAACTTTGAATCTGCATTTTAGTTAATTAATTTTCTGAGTTAATGATATGTTTATACTATATGGATAATAATTCTTAAATAAGGTTTAAATATTAACCTTAAATATTACATATAGTATTCATTATAATTAGATCATTTTTACAAATTATTTATACTGATAGATCAATAATAGTTATTAGTAATTTTAACATTTTTAAATCACCTAAGCCCCGTATCTACAATATAACCCAATAACCCATCACCACAAGAATTCAAAAATATCCTTGATCTTCAAGTGTATTTAAAAGTTCCAAAAATCAAATTTGAATATATGTATAGTTTAATTATGAAAATAGGGTGAGCATGTGTAGCGATCCCGCTTACAGGTATTGATTGAAGAGGTAAGATGGTAGGTTTATCGTATAGTAAATATTATCAACAATAATTTGATTCACTATATTAAAAATGATTATTTTAAAATGCTCAACTCTTTAAAATTTAAGCTGTGATATTCTACTTGCACTAGAATATAACTCAATCAATGAAATGATTAAGTGTTCAGAAAATATACGATCACTCATAAATTTTCCAAGTCCTAAAGTCAACTGATCAAAATTTTTCCAAGTCCAAATTATTAATTAAAAAATGCTCTGGCCGAGTCTGGCCTGGAGGTACTATTGTACCGACTTTGACAGTATAACACGTCTGACATCTGAATGTGGTCTATTTGGGTCTCTCCTATTATAGGGCTATCCTTCCCAATGATAAAAGTGTGTTGTTCTTATTCTGTGGCACACGTGTGCGTATGAGGTCTAGGAAATGCCATCGACCCACGACCATGATATAATACCATAATCGTATTGTGAGTATCCTGTATAGCTGCCACTATATCGTCTATCGATAGTTTAGTGCCGTAGTTTCTAATATCACAATTTTATTGTTGTAGTACATTGTTATAATGTGTATAGTAATATAATAATAAATTCGCGATTCGGGTACGTATTATTATTACTATATACATATTATTGTGATATTAGAAACTACGCACTATATACACTATATACACTATACACACTGGTCACTGGATATACTACCGATTGCGCAGCTATACATGATACTCACAATACGGTTATAGACTTATAGTATTGTAATATTCTGTCAATCTAATGATTGCTCGAATATTACCTTTGCAGGTAGCAAGACCGTATTGTTGAGTTGATAAGGTGTTTTATTGAAATAATGGTAGACAGGTGTAAGTTTTTTAGTTTATTAGAAATGTACTTCAAAGAAACAATATTTAAATATCAATTTGTCCAAATTGCCAAATAGTCTAACGTGAAGGTGCTCACTATTGAACTGAGTGAACACGTCTGATTATCGTTTGTTTCTTATAGTCCTGTCCCCGCTCCCCTTGCCTATTAGTGAAGTATCTTGTTTTCCCGAGTGTGGTCATTGTCGCCGGATGTGGCCTAAACAATTTTGACTGCACTTGCGAATTTTAATCTATTCTGGGTAATACAAAATCACATATATTGATATTTGATTTATTA